TCTATGTAAAATATCTTTAAGCACACAGTATAGTCCTGTTCAACCTTATAATAACACCATGTATTGTGACTCTATAAATGCACATCTTCTCTAAGTGCATATTTTTGAAATCTTTTTACTATGGTTACGATGGGGTGCATTTCAGTTTAGAGATAAAATAATCTTTTAAACTGAACTTTTCAGAATTTTTATGTATAAGTGCAGAAAGCTCAGTATAAGCAGAGTTGGTTGTAGTAAAGTTTTATAATTATATATACTCTTATTATTATTGTTAGCTTTATTTTTATGATCATAAAGTCCTATAATGAGCACTTAATAGATCAGTATAAAATTAAAATTTGAACCGATTAAGTACCAATATTTAAAGATAAAAATGAATCGAATTAGAAATAATAATTATTTTTCACTAACAAATCAAATTTAACGTGAAGCAAGCACGTAAAGATGGTAAAAAACAAATACTTGGTTAAAGCATTTTTTCCACCATCAAAATCGTCACTAGTTTTGATTTCGTAATAAAAACGTTTACCATCCCCACTTTTTGTACGTACGTACGTACGTATGCTTTCATGGGATACTTAATAAGGAAAAAAATCAATGCTGAGATGAAAAACACGAAATCTTAAAAATGGCAGAACTGTACATACTCATACGTGACACAGACCAAAAATACAGAATAGATTTGAAACATCCCGGATCAGACCGACATGTGCAAAGACAGAAAAACAAAAATAAAGAAAAACAAGTGTCTAAATCGACATTGTGAAACTAATTAAAGACGTGAGAATATAGTTCTACGTAAAACTAATGATTTTTAAATATAGTAATTTATCCTAACCTTTAACATAAGTCCCTAATGTCAAATATACAGTATATGCACCTATGTTTTTCTTTTTTGGCTTGTATCACTGGTACAAGCAAATATACCGCCTTGAAAAACTAGGGTTAGGGCACAGTGCCCCAGAGTATGCCATAGGTGCCCGGAAAGGGTGTGCATAAGAGTATACGTGCTGGCGGAATTATCAGGATTTGGGGTTTTGGATTTAGGACGGATTTTATTATGTTTGAGATTAGGATCAGGATTTTTTTTGAGATTTAACAATTTTATATTCTTTTTTAAACACTTTATTTATTATATATAACTATTAAGATTTGCACATTAAAAAGTTTTAATAACTGATAATTCGTCTTTAGCTCACAAAATTACGTATAATTTGTGATTTTCGATTGGGCATCGTATAAGCGTGGAAAATTAGGCAATGGGTTAATATGTAGTCAGAAAAATATTTTGAGTATAAATATCAGTTTTTTTTTTCTCTTAATGTATATTACTTGAATAGGCGAGACCAACTTGATTCTGTGTTTTACATTACCCCCAGCGTCCCCCCTCCTCATAGTAAAAAAATTTAGATAAATATATATAGGGCTTCGGGCTATTTCGGAAGACTTTTATATAGTCACGGAACAATTCGGAACAATTTTTCGAAAAAATAATTTTACTATGTAAACCACAAATTCTCCCCCCTCCCTTCCGGAGGGGAGAGGGGTAATGTAAAACACGGAATCAAGTTGGTCTCGCCTTATAAGAAACCTAATTTGGAACCATTTTTTTTTGAAACCTTTTAGTTACTCTCATTTAGTGGTATATTGTATATGGTTGTAAATTTGTAGAAATTCAATATTAACAATTGTTTAATTTACAATATTTTCTACTAAAATGTGTATAATTCTTTGTTACTCTTCAATAACATATAAATGAATTCTGTATTAACTATTTAATGAAATTTTTATCTCTACGCAGTACCATCATCATAGTGTAGCTTGAAATGAACTGTGATGTTCTCAATTACTCATGTGCGAAGCATAGAGTACCATTAGTTCACGTATATAAAAAATTGGTTAAAAAAATTTTGGGGCATACCCTTAAATTAGAAAAATTAGAGGTATGCCTATGGACATACCTAGAAAATTTTTTCAACCCCAAATTCTATTGAAATAACCTAAATTGGTTCTTAAAAACGAAGTTATCAAAAGAGGATTCATATATAAATAAGAACAGTATTATTCGAATAGATAACGATAATATAAACCTATAGCAAAAAATCCATTCCATTCCAAAAATCGAAAATACAAAGATGAGTCTTGACGCTTTCAAAAACCAATTGATGTCAAATTCTAATTATGAATGTCGAGTTAAAGTCAACCAAAGATGTTTGATCGATAAAATGTTGTCAAGGTAAATTTTAAGTTTTCTACTGGCATTAAACTTTTTTATACTAACTTTAAAAAATTTAGATATTCATCCAAATTTGCTATATTTCGGGAATTATTGCAGAATTCAGGTTCGGATTTTTAATGTGAATGCATATGTTGGTTTATATCATACTAATATAAACCTATTTTTTCAGACGACGCAACAGCTTCATCTGTTGAAATAGTATTTGAGGGTACCAGTGGTGACAATTATTCAAGATTGCTTTTTAAAAATGACGGGATGAATTTTCGACAACAAGATTGGGACCGATTAAAGAAAATTGCTGAAGGAAATCCGGATGAGCAGAAGGTATTGGCATTTGTTTCAAGAGTCTTTATAATTTTGTATATATACAATTTAATTGCCATTGCTTTTACGGTACAAGATCGGTGCTTTTGGCGTTGGATTTTATTCGGTATTCTCGATTTGTGAAGAACCACTGTGAGTTGTTACTACTGCATTGTATAAAGTAAATTGCTATTTTATGCATTTTGGCATATGATAGAATTGATTGCAATTTGGAACGCAATATACTGTTGCAATTCACAATGCGTCATGCAGCAATTATAAGCATATATGCTTTTTGTTGAACGTACAATATCATTCATTAATATTTTATAGTGTATCTTCCGGCAATCTTGGCATGGCGTTTTATTGGCAAGGTGATCAATTGTATGTGAGACATGGCCCCATCGATAATAGTGACTCTACGTGGACTACATTCTTAATGGATATGAGAAATCCTTTGAAGGTACCAAGATTTCTTTTATTTATTAAATATTCTATTGATGTATCTAATTTAATTTCTTTATTTAAGCTTCCTGACTTGGATGAATTCGGCCGTTTTTTGGCAACTTCGTTGGTATGATTTTTATTCTCATGATTATGAAGAACATAATTCTCATAATATATATTATTTAATTACAGGGATACACCACCAATCTTCGTCAAATTTCGGTATATTTTAATGAAAATGAGTTGATCTGTATTTCAAAGCAAGTTATTGGTCATTCTCGATCAATTGAAATCAGACCTGATATAAAAAAAGAAGCTCCAGATAAATTGTTTAAACTTGAATCGATCAATATACAAAACTTTAAATTTGATGCTGTTATCACACCTAGCAATCGTGAAGCAAAAAGGGCGTCCGTGTGCCTTCAAATTGCTAATGGAAATCTGAAAGTTCAGGTCCCAAGTAAATTTTCCTCTGAAATGGAAAGGTTAACAAAGAAAAAGCCTCCAAGTAATACTATTATACAGGCCATTCTTCCCATGTACAGTGACTATGAATCTTCCAGTGTAACTTTCGACATTTTCAAGGATTTGTTGCCATTCCCCGAGCAAGGAAATATTTTCATTGGTTTCAGAACACATCAAACAACCGGCTATTCTGTGAATTTAGCCGCTCGCGTCATACCAACAGTATGTACAGTGTTATTTTCGTTTATATGTGATAATTTTTACAACTATTTATCTACAGGTCGAACGTGAATCAATTGATTTTGCCGAAAAAACGCTTTCAATATATAATGTAGAAATGCTGCGTTCAGCTGGAACATTGTGCCGCTTGCTATACGAAGATGAGATGAATCAAATCTCACAACTATATCAATATGGATTAGACGATAATCAATTAATGCTTGAAGAACGTTCAGCTCGCGTTCTTAATCATTTTACCTTTAGGCAAAGTACACCAGATATTAAAGTAGGAAACATCATCGAAACACAATTTTATAAATGTTGTTTATCACGATTATCAATATTATCTACTCACGGCGTCAAAGCCATTCATCTGATACGGCTACCCAGTCCAGAGATGACTGCATTTATAAAAACTATTCCACTTGTTCCAAAAATCATGATGGATCAATGCAATTTATTTTTTCATAGAGCAAATATTATCTTGGGGCTTATTGAAAAACTTTCAATAAATGATGTGTTTGAAGAATTGAAAAATCGAGCCCTGGATAAAGATGAAATGATAGCCTTGATGGAGTGGTGGATAACGCAAAGTTTCTCGATAACAGATCATGATAAACTCATGCAACTGGCCAATGTCAATATTGAAAATAAAGTCTTGCATTTGAAAAATATTCGTCATTTCCAAAACCCTGGTATTATAACTCCGGGTTTAGATGTTCCATCCGATGTATTGCCATATGTTATTAGTCAACATTTTAATAATAAGCTTGATAAATTTAAACAATCTTTTAGGTATAGCATTATTCATTCAATTTTTCTTTCTTTTTATTTTAATTTCTCGAGATAAACTATGGTATTCATTTATTTAGAAATTGGACCGAACTTTCATTGGCTACATGGGCGCAATACATTGTTGAAAAATATGATTTAAAAAATAATCCAGCTTTTGCTGGAGAATTTATAAGTGCTCTTTCCCGTGGATTCAAAAATACAAAGAAAGAAGACCAGTCCACTATATGTCAATTACTATCTCGAATTGAATGTATTCCGACACAATTTGGTGTGAAAAGACCTGCTAAAACATATTTTCCCGATGTAACACTATTTTCAGACTTGCCCAACGTTAGCGTAAAAGGAGATGAAAAATTTTTTACAGAGATGGGAATAAATAAGGTAAAAAGAAAATATATGAATTAATATTTTATAATATAATATAGTATAATATAATATAATAATATAACAAATTCATCCATTCATATACTTACGAATATACAATTCGCATACGGTAGTATGTGGAATTGGAAGTTGTTTTCGCTCGATTAGTTAATAATGAAAATTTGGATCACATGAAGCTTTTGAAATATTTTGCAAAGTTTACCGAAGATCTCAAAGATGCTGATTTGGAAAAATTAAAAAGGACCACAATTTGGATAAAGGAGTGTGCTGGTGATAATAAACCCGAGAACAATGTTCAAAGATATTTGGCAAGAGACTTGTATACTCCATGCTATCAAAATAGAGAACTTGAATTACCAATAATACAATGGAAAGGACATTGGAACAAAAACTCAAATGAAGGTAGATGAGCAAACAAATTTCATTCAAATTACAACTTCACAAATTATTTTTAATTTACCAGCATAATTCATATATTTTAGCTAAATTTATCATTGGGCTTGGATTGCAAGAATATCCTTCTCTTCAAACTATTCTTCAACTTGCCGAACAAGCTCAACCCATCGAACTTCGTGAGAAAGCACTTAAATATTTTATCAAAAATTTCAAAGAAAAATATTCTGAAATGTACAAACCCGATTCGATCCAAATAAAATTTTTACCGTGTATCAATGCTAATATTTATGCAAAACCATCAGAGTGTTATTCGAGCCCTGATTGCGTGAAAATGGGATTTAATGCTTTGCGCCAAGATTTATGCTTTTGGGCTAAAGAAATCGGTGTTAAACTACATCCTGATAGCAATTTGTTGCAGGATAAATTGGTGCAAAATCCTCCAAACATAAACAATGCAAGAAAAATTTTCGAATACATGTACTTTGCAGCGCGTGGAAGTCATGTAAATTGGCAAAAACTTCAGAACATCAAATTCATACCTATCAGAGAGAAAGTTCCGCCACATAGAATCACACATCACAAGCCGGAAGAATGTTTTTTCAAAGTACTTAATAAGAAGTACGTAAAAATTTTAAATATTTCGTAT